AAAAAAATTTTTTTTTTAAATGGAAGAAGGAAAAAAAGATATAATTTTTAAAAAAGCCCCCTTATGTATTAGTCAATGTGTTCTCAAAATATTCTTTTGTTAAAAAGTCCAGGTTAAACATGTTTAACTCATTTCGTATTCTTATACGAAGTCGCAAATCCTCTTGTGAAATATTCCACATTCATCATCATTATTATGAAAATGACAGGATCGATCGACTTATGGAGTAGCTTTTATTCACTACATATTATTTTTGTTGTTGTTCAAGTTTCTTCTTCTTTTTCAGTTTCTGCTGTTTTACTAACAGTAACAGCGTCAAATAACCAGCCAATGGATTATTTGACAGATGACATCTTTGTGCATATCAATCAGACAATAAAAAAGATAAGGTGTACTTTGGAGGCATATTTCTGCTAAGGAATATCACTAGGCATCGTGGTGAGCATTTTGGTTGATGTTGCTAGTGTCGACATTCACATCAAGGTTCAGGATGGCGTAGGGGGAGGGCGTGGCTGTGGGGTGCACCTCCACTCGATGCAGCCGATTGCTGTTGTTCTCATACACACTTGACGCGTCATCTTCATTGTCATCCGCACCCTGAGGGGCGATGTTTGGCAACCATGTATTTCTTCTGGAACACAGAAATAAAATCAAACGTTATATAACAAAATGTGATGTACATTATATTACTTAGAGCATCATAGTATAATTCGATACAGCATACTATAACTTCGCCCCTGCTGGTGGGGGCCCCCATAGTTTAAACTCTCTGGTTTTACTATGGGGGAACAAAGAATACACCTGCCATGATACTGCGTGTCATAAGAGGCGAATAAAAGTGCATAGGTCTGGTCGCCCGAAAAGTGCCAGTTTGCGGAGGGCCAACTACCCAACCCAGTAAAAAAAACAGTAAGTTACAGAAACACGGACAAACACAGCATTTGTTTTTCGATCTTGGGAGACGGAGGAACAATGAAGGACAGCGGACAAAGCCGAAAGGACTCTTCGGACCCGAAACCTCCGGATTGCGTCGTGGAATGTTCGCACCTTGTATGAAGCAGGAAAGAGTTTTCAAGTAGTACAAGAGATGAAGAGATACAGGCTGCACATACTAGGAGTCAGCGAGACACGCTGGATACTGTCTGGACAGAAGCAGCTCAGCTCGGGGGAACAAGTATTAATCGATGTACAGAAAAGGGGAAGACATGGAATAACATCAAGAGGCTAGCCCAGGATAGAGAAAGGTGGAAGGTGTTTGTCCGTGGTCTATACACTGGTGCAGGCTGAATAAGGCAATGATGATGATTATGATACTATAACTTGACATGAAACCACATGACGTGACACGATTAAATACGACACAATATAACATCACATAGCATCACATCACATAACATCACATAACATCACATAACATCACAAAGCATAGCATAGCATAGCATAGCATAGCATAGCATAGCATAGCATAGCATAGCATAGCATAGCATAACATAGCATAGCATAGCATAGAATAGCATAGAATAACATAGCATAGCATAGCATAGAATAACATCATTACAACAGTAGCAAAACACCACTTTCACCATAGCCGAGTGCACGTAGTACCTTTCTTCCCTTGCCCTTTATTTGGTTCTAAATTGAGTCAACTGGTACACTCTATAACAAACTCGAATTACATCTAGAATAAAACAGTCGAATCTGCTCTTTCGTCCACGTGTATAAGACAATTACCGCGCACATATGACCTTATGCAGTTGCGAGCGCCGTAAAACCCCATACTACTACTAAAGACAATTACTTGCTTTGCTACTATCATAATAACACCGTGTAACACATCCTCCTTTCAAAGACGCCTACTTTTCTCCTTGATAGTGGATGGCCATCTTAGGTGATCTGGACTGTTTTATAATACAGGTCCATGAACTCACCTCATAGCTGTCACAGGACTGTTCGCCTCCCCGTCTGAGCTGGCCGAGGAGCGAACACTGGGGAACTGGTCGTACCCTCTGGCCCCTCGCACAGTGAACGTCTGGTTCAGGAGGTAATCCCACACAGTGGGCTGTGGCCTGCTCACGATTCGCAACCTCCTCTTGCTGAAAGCGTCATCACAGATGGTGAGTGGGGATTGCATGTGTTTTTTAAGGTTTTTTTTGTTTGTTTGTTTTGTTGTTGGTTTTTTGGGGGGGAGGGGAGGGGTAAACACATTTTCTAATCATATTTCTTACACATAACCTTAGATTTGCAGTCTTAAACGAATGCACGTTTGATTGAGTACCCTCTAACACCCCCCCCCTCCCAAATCCCCATAACAAATACATGTACCTCTAACACCCCATGCCGTCTAAAAAAATTCTTCTGTCGGTTCCAGAACTGTAAGAGTACAAATGTACTTAAATATGATAACATGTGTGCGATTAATTTATTTATTTATTTATTTTTTTTTTTTTTTTTTTTTGGGGGGGGTGGACTCCAGATATAACTGTCATCTCCACTACGACCAAGCAAAATAAGGAGGTATCGGGGGTCTAAAGACAATAACAAAAACTGACAATAATTCAGTTACTTTTGGACCAATTTCAACAAAACTTTGAGGGCATAAAATTCGACTTGGGGATGTTACAATTATATAAATAAAATAAATCAACACGGTCGAAAATTATCAGGTTTTTATCTTTTCAACCAAAACGTTGCAGCTTCTTGAAACTCAACTATATTGTTCAATTTCAAATCTTCACTATTTGAGCATTAAAAAACATAATTTACACGAAATTAATATTGCCAAATACATTCAAGAATGTGGCGGCTATTTAAATCTCCAAGTGTTGGCCGTTTCTCTCAATTAAAGCTCCAATACACCGTTGAAAATTTTGAATAACCTTGTGACATATTTCTGGGTCAATTCTTCGGACCTTCCGTTCAACATTGGGTTTCAACTGTTTGAATTTTTGTGGATATTTTCCGTAGGCTTTTTCTGCCCCC